TAGTGGAATGGAAAACACGACTTGCAGTCAGTCCCGTCATGGACGCTTGGATTGGCAGAGTACATAGTGTCCTAAGCTTCCGGCTGAAGCAGGTGTTTTACAAGTACAAAGTACATATGATATTCATCGCTGTAATGACAATTTGGAGGATACGGCGCGGCATATACTCGTTCGAAGAGTGGGAAGACTGAAGATTTCCATCGCGTAATAAAAAAAGACTTTTTTTTTCCGGTTCCGGTGCTCGTAGTGTCAACACATACAAATCATTGTGGTGTAAATATATTATAATAAAAATTGGTTTGGAATCCCTATTCTACACATAATACGCTTCAAAATAGGAAGAAAAGTGCACTGCACAGTGTGAACATATAAAATCCACGAAAATTGCTGGAATAGAACAAATTAACAAGGTGAAAACAAAGGCAAACATTTTGAGGTTAGTTAAAATACCATACCATAGTCAAATTAATCAAATAGAAGAACTGTCAGAAGTGCCAACTGTCAGAAGTGTCAACTGTCAGAAGTGTCAACTGTCAAAAGTGTCAAAAGATATCATTCATTCACAATTGTCACCTTTAGTTACTGGGGTTGACAACAGAGAAAAAACACAACGTTCCGTTTCAAGCAAAAATATTATATATATATTTATATTAAAAGAATTAAATAACTATAAAAATAATGGAAGAACAATTTCAAATGTTGTTTGATAAAATGAAAATCGAAATTAAAAATCAAACAGCTGAATTAACAGAAACCATATCCAACACCATTATGTGTAGAATGGAAGAAAAACTACAGCCGATTATTGAAGAAAATAAATTACTGAAAGCAACCGTAGAAAAACTACAGACTGAAGTGAAGCAATTGAAAGGGGAGAAAAGAAGTAAGAACATAGTGATATTTGGATTAAAAGAAGGGGAAAATTCAACCTCAGAGCTACTAAAGAAGATTAAAGAAGTGTTCCAACATGACGCACGACTAGTTATTGAAGATTGTGACGTCAATAAGGTATATCGTATTGGGGAAGCGAAAAGTAATGATAAACCAAGACCTATTCTTTTTTCCTTTGTTAGTCATATAAAGAAAACCGAAATATTAGCTAATAAAAGGAAATTGAAAGAAGTATACATCACCGAAGATTATTCAAAAGAAGTATTAGAAAAAAGAAAAGCCCTATTACCTAAGCTAAAAGAAGAAAGGAACAAGGGAAATCTTGCGTATTTAAAGTTTGATAAGTTAATAGTTAGAGAAAATAATCAGAATAAAGAAAAAAGAAAACGAGAATCATCCACTTCACCACAATACAACCTGCAACCTAGAAAACAACAAAATATTACAGCCTCAAAAACAAACAGAATAAACGCATTTGATATAATGAGAACTAGATCGAACTCTTTTTCAACTCTGTCAGGAAATAACCAATAGCAATCAAATATCGGCAACCGGACTAATACTAATACAGAAACATATAAAAACAAGACAATAAAAGAAAAACCATCAGGTCCCAATACGGCTGGTCACCGCGGGACGTCAGACCTCCACCCTCCAACTAAAGCAACATATTATAATTGTAATGATAAACAGAAACGTAATTGTCTAAAAATATACATCTCAACTTTAAATGTGCGTAGTTTGAAGTCTGACGACAGCCTCACAGAATTGGCACATGCACTAAAAGCGGTAAATTGGGATATTCTCGGCTTAAGTGAGGTGAGAAGAATGGGAGAACATATCGTGGCACACCCAGATTTTATACTATACTACATTGGAGAAACTCCAGGTAGATATGGCGTGGGATTTTTGGTGAAAAAACATCTAGCCAAATCCATTCAAGGGTTCCATGGAGTTTCAGAACGAATAGCATTACTGAATATAAAATTTCCTGAATACGTTAATTCATGGACGTTAATTCAAGTGTACTGTCCTACTGAACAAGCAACAACTCAAGAAATCGAATCCTTCTACCGAGACCTAAACAAAACAATCCAATCCAATTCACAGAAAAATGTGATAGTCATGGGGGATTTCAATGGGCAAATAGGAGAAGCCCACATAGAAGAAAGAGCAGCCATTGGACCATACACATACAGCAACAAAAATAGAAGCAGAAATGGAAAAAAGCTTATAGACTTCGCTCTAGAAAACAAGTTAGCAGTTTTAAACACAATATATAAGAAAAATAGGAAAAACATGTGGACCTGGGCTGCACCAGGTGGAAACTCAAAAAACGAAATTGACTTCATCCTAACCAATAGAACTAAATTTTTCGCAAATCTAAATGTCATTAGTAGACTAAATTTTAACACAGACCATAGAATGGTGAGAGCCGAATTAAAATTGACTCCACCGAAGAAACCCAGGCCAACAATTAATTTAGACATCACTAAACCCAGCAAATATAAAATGGAACAAATAACCAATGCCATATCAACCAAGCTGAAAACTTATAATAATGAATACAGCAGTGATTTACAAACAAAATATAATTGGATGGAAAATACAATCAAAAGCACCATAAAAGAATTCAGCTGTAATAAACGTAAAGATAACGGTATGTCAGCTAAAACTATCGACCTCTTCAAGCAACGGAATACCCTAATTAGCTCTAAAGCCTCCAACAGTAGAAGACAACAGATAAGTAAAATAAGTAAAGAAATAAAAGAAAGCATAAGAAAAGACAGAATACAAAGAAGAATGGAAACAATAGAGAAACACATACTACAGACTGGCGGAATCAAGAAGGCTTATAGGGAACTAAGTTGCAATAAAGATTGGATTGTGAAAATGAAGGATAAATGTAAATCAATGAAAAATGAGAGACTTGACATATTAGAAATTGCTACAGCATACTATAAAGATCTATATAGAAACAGCATGCACGAGAAAGAAATAGACCTCTTGAACAACGCAGCAGTACCCAATATCATGCACAGAGAAATAGAATTTGCTATAGACACACAAAAACTAGACAAGTCACCAGGCCCAGATGGAATAAGCAACGAAATCCTCAAACACACTAGGTCAGCACTTATCCCAGTCCTGTCGGATATCTTCAATGACATCATAAACACAGAAACAATACCAAGTCAATGGACTAAATCAAATATAGTTCTATTGTTCAAAAAAGGAGATGCAAATGATATAGCAAACTACCGCCCTATTAGTCTGATGTCCAACTTATACAAAGTTTTTGCTAAAATAATACTCAAAAGAATAGAAATACAACTAGATGACCAACAACCCATCGAGCAAGCAGGATTCCGAAAGGACTACTCAGTGCTAGATCATATACATGTTGTGAGACAAATTTTGGAAAAATATGCCGAATACCAACAAACATACTATATCGCATTTATAGACTACAGCAAAGCGTTTGACTCATTAATACACTGTAGGATTTGGGAAGCATTGAAATTACAGGGCGTTGAAGAAAAATATATAAGAATAATAAGAAATATATATAAGGACAGCTCTGCTTGCATACAGTTGGAACAGAAAGGTAACCAATTCGACATACAAAAAGGTGTAAGACAGGGGGATCCACTATCACCGAAACTGTTCTCAGCTGTGTTAGAAATGGTCTTCAGGAACCTATGTTGGGACAAAGTAGGACTATCCATAAATGGAAGAATGTTAACACATTTAAGGTTTGCTGATGACATCGTTTTATTCGCAAAAACACCGGAAGACCTAAACAACATGTTAAATGAATTGTCATCAGAAAGTGCTAAGGTAGGCTTGCACCTAAATAGAGAAAAAACAAAAGTAATGACAAATGGAGAAAAAAGAACCATAATGGTAAAAGACATAGAAATAGATTATACACAAGAATATATATATCTTGGACAATTGATGTCACCCAAAGACACAGTTAATAAAGAAATAGAAAGAAGAGTAGCAAACAGCTGGAAGAGATACTGGGGCTTGAAGGAGGTAATGAAAGATAACAAACTACACATAGCAACAAAAACAAAACTATTTAACACCTGCATCTTACCTGTACTGACTTATGGTTGCCAAACTTGGCCATTATCAAAAAATACGACCACAAACCTCGCCACATGTCAACATGCGATGGAAAGAAGCATGTTAGGTGTAAAGAAAGCAGACAGAATAAAGAAAAAATCCATCAGACACAAAACCAAGGTACAAGATGTAACTTTAAAAATAAAGAGATTAAAGTGGAAATGGGCAGGTCACTTGATAAGAGGCAAAGAAAAATGGAGCCAAATTGTTACTCAGTGGTACCCAAGAGAAGGTCATAGATTGAGAGGAAGGCCTAATAAAAGATGGGATGAGGACATTCGCCAAGTAGCTGGAAATACATGGCACAGAGTGGCAAATGAAAGGTCAGAATGGAAAAGGTTGGAGGAGGCCTATGCCAACTGGCAAACGGATCTGCAAAAAATTAGTAAAAACCAAATTCATGAGTGATATTATTTTTTTGTAACTTGTTTTTGTTTTTTGTAAATCTGAATAAAAGGCTTTATTATTATATTATTATTATTATAATAAAAAAAGAGGTGAATATTTGTGTTTGTTTGTTCTTGGGTTTTGTAGTCGGTTTTTTATAACTTCTTCAATTGTTGTGTAGGCAAATGTGTGTTGTTCCCGGAAAAATTAGAGTACGGCAAAGTAGTAACTCTTATTTTGACTACGTTATGAATTATTTCTATAATATGTAGCATACTGTTAGAAACGGTGTGAACTTTTCGTAGGTCCATGTGTCAAACATGTACTATATTATTATAATAATAAGTCGGGTTTTCCTTCCTGACGCTATAACTCCAGAACGCATGAACCGATTTCCACGGTTTTGCATTCGCTGGAAAGGTCTCGGGCTCTGTGAAGTTTATAGCAAATTCACTAATCACCAAACGAAATGTTACATAAAACGAAGCCATCTGGTGGCGAAACGGAGTTCGTCGGGTTTGCTACTCATGTATAAATATTCCCATTTTAAAGTTAGGGTTAACCACTAAATTGAAACAACATTAAAATGAGGTTTTTTAATTAATGTTTTATTTGAAAATAACTGAATATTGCGTATAATCTACATTCGTTGCGGATACAACTTTACATATATATCGCTTACAATATAAATGGGGTAAACTTAATTGAAAGATAATCACATTATAACAGCCTAATATTTGTACAAATGATAGTTTAAATTATAAAAAAAGATACAGTACAATATTTATTTTACGTTAGTGGAGTATGTATGTTTCACCCTTTACTTTTTATCCAAAATGGCGTCCTGTCATTTTGACAGTTTGATTTTTTTATTCAAGTTTGTACGCAAAGGTGTTTAAGCGTTATTCCTGTAAGGGAACTCTTTACCAATTTTATTTTTAATTTGTGACTGTTTACAATAGAATACATGTTTTTGAGAGTGAAACAAAGGTTATAATTATATTTATTTATATTTTAGCCTGTTTAGGCGACCTTCTGCAAGTATTCGTCGAAGAGGTACAGGGCAAGAGACAGGTCTTGTCCGTGGTTGGATGTGATGAACTTCTTGAGGTCTGTGGTGTGACCTGCAAGCTCTCTGATCTTCTTGGACTGGTCTTCAATGAACTCCTCCTCGAGGTACTGAGCGACCTGTTGATGAAATGTTATTTTGTTGAAATGGCTCGCTATTCTGGAAATACTGATCTCGGAATCAATAATATGAACCTCTAAATGAATTATTGTGACAAATTAAGTCATACTGAGTGCGACTCCTGGATCGGATAGTGTTATTTAGGATTTGATTGAATTTGTTTTAAATTCGCAGTAATACGGTGTATAGCAATAGGCTCACCCTCTATTAAATGGCTCTTACAACTGATCGAAAGTATGTCTTAAAATCACTGTGTAATTACCCACATCTCAGCTTATCTTTCGGGGATTATTAATTATCGCTGAACAAACATAAAAAAAAACATTATGTATTTAAAGGTCAAATTTAGATAATCCTCCTTTTTGAAGTTGGTTACAAAAGCTAATGCTACGATGACGATGACGCAAAGAGAACTATGCTTTTGAAAAATGTACATACCTCAGGGTCATGCAAGTGCTGGCTGTTCCTGGTAGCCTCACGATGGATGTAGAAGGCGCGTTCAGCGATCTCCTTCTGGGTGTCCAGAGCCTTAGCCAAGGCCTCCAGCTCATGAAGCTCCACTGTGTAGTTCTTGCGTTCTACCTTCATGGTGCTACGCTGGTCGAAGTTCATTTCGTCACCTGGTTGAGGGGACATCGTGTTATTTGAAATCGGTTAAAAATGCTCATGATTATGGCTTGAAAATAGTCGAGAGTCCTCCTTGGACACTTATATGAATGGGTCGTAAATATTATTATGATTCTAGATATAAAAAAGAACGGCTTTACAGTTGATTTGTTAATTATGAAGCATTTTGTATTATTTAAGGTTCAATTTGGTTACAATCACCCCTACATGGGAGCTTATATAAAAACCGACAGATAAACAACAGTTTGTAGACGAAAAATTCAATTAAAACTACTACTAAATTTTCTAAACAATTAATTTTTAAACTTACCCCTCATGGTAACATGCTTGATGATATCAATGGTCTTCTCCCAAGCTTCATCAGAGAGTTTCTTGAACAGCTTGCTGAACCCAGCCCTGTTGGTCTGATAATTGTTGAAGTAGGCAGCAGACAGGAGGTATTCATAAGATCTCTCTAGATGCAAATTGGCGTAAGCCTGGAGCTCCGTTGCGACGTTGCCATGTCTCCCGTATTCGCCATACACCGCGTTACATCTCGGAAGCGCTGTTGCCAGAATTATTTACATGGGTATTATGTGGAAAGTGCATGGATGATGATTGTGTGTGTAGATGGCGCTAGTGAGTTAAAAGACCTTTGCAACGGCCGAAATAGGGATGATGACAGGGTATGAAAATTAAAAATCTAATTAGTCCGTCAGTTAGGCAATGAAAAAATATTAGACACGTATTTTTTATTTTGTCGTATAAGAAAACAATACTTAGATAAAACGAATCAAAGTTTAGGAGGGGGAGGTAGCTACGTCATTTTAGAGTATACATCGTACTCAAAAGTGACGTCACGCGACATTTCAAATCAATCTAACTACTAAAGTATTCGTTTTCGTATGAAAATAAAAATACGTGTCTAATGTTTTTAAATAATCTACCAGACGGATATATAAAATAAAAATTAGTCATCTACCCTACTAGTGACTACGAATTTTTGATATTATTTGGAGATTTGTCAAAAATTAAGCCCGATCCAGAGATTTCAGATTACTATAGTTAATTTATTTCAGCCGCTAGTCTGTAGCCGTTACAAGTTGACTGTCTTACCCCCGAATACTGAAAGGTTACTCAGTTTGTGATTAAATATCGTGCCATCCCTGTCACTTTACGTAGTTTTTGTAGAGACAGAACTATACTGAAGTGCGACTTAACTGATGAGCCTTTCAGTATTTAAAAGGCAAGAAAGAAAGAGAAACTTTATTTCACACGCTAAAACTGATGACACGTACACATTTTCTACATAAGTTAAAAATATCTACTAATGTCCCAGGTCTGCGGTGAAATTGGGACCAGTTCAGCATGTGCAAAACCATTTTTGGGCCATAGTAAGTGTTTTATACAGCAATAGACCTTTTAACTAAGACTAGCGCCTTTACCACAATTTTACAGTTGCAGATTCATATCAAAGGCCAATTAGTTAAGTCAAAAAATTGTGTTCTTTTAATGTTTATTTGGCTATGTGCAAAGCGAGTAGTAGCGGACAGATAACGACCGCAGCGCACAACACGGCAGAAATTGGAAACAAATGCGGATGATGCAAACCCGGTTTTTATTATTATATTCATTTTACAGTAAAACTATTGAATAAATTGCACTTAAATAATGTCAACAATACTATTTTAATCTTTGGTTTTATTTATATTTGCAAAGAAAAATAAAATGTTTACATTGTTATTATTTGACAGCTTCCGCAAATGTTGTAAACGCTACGCGTCGCCACCGTCGCGCACATAGCCAAAAAACAAGTGTTGAATATAATGACAAATGGATTGTAGTATTTTTATGCCTATTATCTTGCCTTTGATATTTAATCCGCTTCTGCATTTAAATGGTTTCGGTTCGTTTTGCAATGAAGGAAAATGCCAAAATGATATTTTAGAGATGAATGGACACTATATCAGAATTAAAATAATATCATAATATTAAAAACTCCTAAAATATAATGATTTTAATGCATAGTATGTCCATTGCACCCTGTATATGCTATAAGGAACGTGCAAAATCATTCCATATTACAATATGTTATAAATATTATATATGTATTATGTATCCGTTCAAACACAATCAATAGTTTAGGGACTGAAATTTCAATCATCAGTTAATTCTGTAGAATAAAGTTGACATTCGATAGTTTTTAGTATAGAACAATTGTCAAATATTCAAAGTTATTCCACAGTTAAAATTTATCTGAGCATTGAAAAATTGGCCCTAAGGATATTTTGATTTGTTTCCGAAACATCATCTGTTTTTGATAATTATATATAACACTTTTGTTGATCGGATTTCAGTTTTTAAAATATAGTAATAAATTCAGAACATATTGTTTTATAATAAAGTAATAATGTGCAAATGCCTTATACTAAAGAAATATTGCAGGTGCATTCTCTATAAAAATACATTTATCATGCATTTCATAATGACTCAAAATATTGGTAGCAAAAACGACCTTGTTGACTATTATTTATTTGCAAAATACTCACTTTGAGTAATAATAAAGAAGATGAGAGTAATAGAAAAGAGATGCAAGATACTAAAAGTTACGTCATTTCTATTAAAAGCGGTGTAAGAGTGAGACAACTACATAATACAGTATTCAAACTAAAATCTCTAGTTTTTATTAGATTTTAGCTTACAATTCTCTGAATTTTTTTTAAAATAAATATTATATCCTAATAAGAAAAAATCAATTATCTTTAAAATAATAGAACACGATGCAAGAATACGGCACTGATTTAAAATTCTCTCTTTTACTCTCACATTGTTACACAGCATTTTTTTTAAATATGAAAATCAACGAATGACATCTCCCGCCTGGATGAGGCGGGAGGGAGTGTCAGACTCTTACTGACTAAAAACCACCCCGTTACTACTCCTGCAATTCGAACCGGAGCCCCGGTAACCCATTAGGCCTTCCGCGGCTCGGTATTAAACAGTATAGCAAATATTTATCAATACTTAAATTATAGGGCGGTTCAATGGGCGGTACTGATAAAATATTGCCGTCTTTGTTTTTCTTTGTTAGTCAAAGAGAGATAGGTAGATGGCTTTTCTTATTATTTAAATATTAGCAATGCGAAAGTTAGTGAGTGAGTTTTTGTGTATGTTTGTAACTCAATCACGTCAAAAGTATTCTTATATAAACGAGAGTGAAAGAGGTAGCAATACAAAGTAAAGTGTATGTGAAATCAGTGCCATATTCATAAATAAATAAAGGCATAGCATACTCATAAGATAAAGAGTATAACATACTATACATATAGAAATTTCTAGCAAATATTACTAATCTTCGGTCTAAATATGACTAAAATTAATTAAATCGAACCTCCTCCTATTTCAAAGTCGGTTAAAAATGCGACTTGAATCCAGAAAATGCTTAAAAAAGACAGTCTACCTCTACAATACCAATCGGTACTAAACTTCTTGTAATATGGTCGCCAAAAACGACTAGAGCGACATCTAGCATCAATATTTGGAACTAATCGATTATTTAATTACTTTTCCCTTTTTAGGTTTCAAATCTAGACCGAGATTAGCAAAAACTAGTAATTTCACAATTAAAATCTAGTACTTACATGTTGGTTCTGCAAAATTAAAGCAAGAACAATTAATTTGCTTTGTTAATTCACAATTTTAATGTAAAATGTTGCGATTGTAATGTTTTTTATTTAAAAATATACTGGCTTAGTGTCTTTTTAGACCCCATTAAACATGATAGACATTAAAATAATGAAAGAAATAGTGATAGGGTTAATAATAAATGGTGTGATCCACAAATTTATTGTTCCCAGAGCCGTACTCCGTAAGGCAAACTAGACAAGTGCCGGGCGCTAGGTTACAGAGAGGCGCCGTAAGAGGCGCGTGCACAACTTCACATAGAGTGACGGCGGTAGGGGCGTCTATTAGGTGCTTCCTTAGGGCGCTCTCTCGTTATATCCGCTTCTTATACACATACTACGCACTTTTCACTATTTATGTTATGAGTCCCGTGTAGTGTATAGTGGGTGAATAATGGTAGAAAGAACAATATGGCGCGCAACTCCAAAATAACTTAGGATAAGGGAAGGTAAACAATGATTTTCAATGAGACCAAATTATTTTGATATTAAAAGAGACAAAAGTTATTCAATGCATCCCAATTGTTTAAATGATTTTGATATTTTATGCAACCAAGTTAATGGCAATTACGTTCACAAATAAGATGTTTTTGATAATAAATTACTTACAATTTCGTCTAAAGGCTGAAAGAAGGAGAATATAATGTAGATAAGAAAATACATATATACATAGATAAACATATATAGGAAATATATGAGTAAAGTAACTACGGCATTCTTGTAAAATGTATAATAAATATTAACCCGTTGAAATTCATCGCCTATATTTGTTTAAACAAAAGTAGTATCTGAACATTGGAAATAAGGTCTATAATGTGCGTGTCTATAAGTGGAGAGCGGTCACCGGTGACCGCTTGAAGATGTATGGGTTAAGGCATTTCCACAAAATGTATGGTCATGCTATGTATAGGTAGTTTTTAAAACCATTACGCCCCTCAAGAAGGTAAAATTACTTGAACTAAACTTGTCATTTTGAAGAAAAAGGGATATAAGTAACAATAGTTTAAATACTATTTTAAAACATTTATTTTGATAGAGAAGAAGTATAGTGTATTTATAAATTTTAATATTTTTTATTTAGTTTTTTTTTAATGTTGCCCCCACCGGGATTGTCTCCTGTGTCGTGTGTTTACAAACATACAAGTTCACATACACATCACACACAGACCCGGAATAAAATCTGTGGATCACACACAGAGTTGATACGCGCAGGAATCTAACCCTCGACACGTTGCGCGGCAGCCAGTTACCCAGCCACCGCACCAACCGTACAGTAAATTAATAGTAATTAATTAAACCCGGAAAGAATTCAGAAAGATACAAGTCTAGAAACTTCACACTAGCCAGTACATTTTACTATAAAACAATAATATTTATAAGTAATTAGTATTATTTTAATAATATTAAATAGTGCTGCACCTACCAAGGCTGTTGGAGGCCTGTCCGCAGTCCAGGGAGACATCCTGGTAGCAGGTGTCGGCTGCGAGGGCGCCGGAGACAGCCAGCAGGCAGGAGACAGCTAGAATGATGACCTTCATGGTTCTGTATGGAGGAAAATAGAATTATATTATAATATATGTATTGACATTTGTTTATATATGGAACAACCATTATGTTATGTAATACAGAAATCAAAATAGGAGAAACTCTTTGATGAAATATTTGCTGTTCTTAAATGCTACTAGTCTTCGTTATATAGATTTTATTTTGAAGTAATTTTAAATTGTAAATTAAGATTTAGAGAAGTAGAGTAGGTACTGTATTCTTGTTTATTTATGACCTTTTACATTTAAAACTTGGGTTTTAACCTCTGTCGGAATGCAGATTTATGTGTTTTCCACTGTCTCATATATCTACAAACAAGAGGTTAAACGGTCTAAAATATGATTTTACATTATTAGCAGTCTACATCGAAATAAATAAAACTGGAGTTTGCAATCTTGTATCAGTATTAGCTACAAATATATCTAGAGTTAGTGCTTATCTATGACAGCCAATCTATACAAAAAATAGTTAGTCATGATAAAGCGTAGGTATATTCATGTAAAAATAAAAACTTTCCTATTTCATCTTAGATTTATTAGTAAAAAAAAGCATTTATTTGACAAGTAGGCACGAATACAAAGATTTAGAAAAAATAATTACTTATGTAAACTTCATTACGATTCATAAAGTGTGCATTGCAAAAGCAGAAATTGCAGCATTTGTAATGAATAAACAAATTATGCAACTTTTATCCTATTTATAGTTATATTCTAGTAAAATACATGTGTATGGCACACAAATAACTAGGTATAATTCATATTGATGACATTAATGCTTATTCATTTCAGTAAAAATGTTAATATTTATGGTAGTGATTAAATTATAATAATAATTTATCAACATCAATCAAGTACTTGATATACCTACCTACCTATTATAAATGCACAAATATTAGTTATAAAACTAATCTTAAATTCACCAATTCCATTTTAAACTGTCAAACACCAAGCAGTCACCGGTGATCGCAACCTATTGTTCTATAATTGCGTCTACAAAACCGGTACTCGACGAGTTAATAAATAAAACGTTCATTACACATATTTGCCAATTCAAACTTTCCCTCCATTTTACTTCCTTCCTAACTTTTTAATACTGACAAAAAATGGCAGCAAAACAAAACAGCCTATTACTTTTTTAAATTTGTCCTATGTAAGTTGTCTATAATCTATCATAGATAATAAATGCACAAATAGATTCATATCATTAATTTTACACTAATAAATCAGAATCAATGACTTGATAAAGTGGATTATAGACTTTTCCTAATGTCATAATAAATTACAAGATAATTTTTTAATTGATTTGATAACTAAGTACAAATTACTTATCACAGATTTATTTATTTGTAAACAATCAATACCCACAGATGATATTTATAAGAAAAAAAAACCGGAAGAGTAAACTATGTACATTTTTTTTATTGGTTATTTTATTGTTGAAGGTAACTTGTCATTGAGATTGAGCCCGTCCCGTCGGAACTCGATCGCGATATTTTGATAAACAAGAAGTCACAAAGAGTTTGCACATATTAATATTTAATCTAATGTAGGTAGACACTTAAGTTTTTATGCCTATTTATTACTTTATAGTTAAAACCAATTCAAATACCTATTTCTATTAATAAATAAAACGTAAATAAATAAAATCAACCTGAAACGTCAATCAGACGTAAGACAAAAGAAAAAAATTAAAACCAAAGTTACAGTCGTAACATTCGATCGAATTTCGAAATTAGAATAAAAAATAGAAAAACAATTAATTATGTTAAATAGAAACAAAATAGGATCGAAAAAATTAAAAACACAAACAAAGAAACCACGAAAATAGACTCACCAAATAATATTGTGAGACGAATAGAAAATAATTCTTGCAACAAATAGGATTGTTTCGTCGAAAGTGCCTTTACACACACTGGCGCAGAAGGCGGCTTCCAACAATGACTATTAAATTGATAAAGCTCCGTTCGACGGAGAGCACACGTAATTAAAATTTATATAAACGCAGTTCGACTGATAGCAAACGACAAAATGATAATAAATGTAAAATCTCATCTGTCACGTGAAGTTGGCAGCACTTTACTGCTGGGTAACCATGTCAATGATATAATTTACCCGTATCTTGTAGATAACGTTAACGAAAATCGTTTCAAAAATTATTGATTTCTTCCAATCAGAAGTTTGAATATTTTTATTGTTTATAAAATGTAGTTAAATCGTTGAGAGTCATTTATTCCAAAATTATGTTACAAAAAAAATTCCACCATCAACGGTAAATGTTGAGTACTGGTATCATTATTACCGCGCCCCCCTCTACGCTAACCCCCCGCGCTAATACCCGTTAATGACGTAGTAAAATCCTGTCATGGCTGTCATACTAAGAATGTTGAGGTTTTGAGTTTCTAGAGACTTCTTCCTTTTCCAACTTTTCTTATTATTTAGACTATTTAGGCATGATGAGATGCTATGAATTATGGTATTATATTATATCCTAGGCATTGAGACCCAAGAAGAAGGTCCATTATGGCTAAAATTCAAAATTAGGTCGGAAAATATTCCATGACCGAGTTCGGAACACGAAACCTCGACAGGGATTTTTTTGTTGTGCAACGACCAATGATATCTTGCGTCTCGCTCTATCGTGTCATTCTCCAAGCACTTGTCAACACGAGATGGTTCTGTTATCGCTGCGTAGTTCATTATTTTCATATATTAATCAGAGGCATCAACGTGAATAGTACTTGTATTCCAATTTTGTTGCGTTCTGATAAGTCGCCTTCTGCGCCAGTGTGTGTAAAGGCTAGACTTTCGCGAGTACTCGTTCGTTACGGAACTGCTTGTCATTATTTTATTATTTTGTCAAAGTATCTGTGATTTAATTAAATAAAAAATAAAAGATGAAGGCCATCCTCCTTGCTCTCGCTGGACTCCTGGCTGTATGCCTTCCTGCTTCTGCCACACAATGTGAGTATACTTTACTTTTTTCTTTGTTATGGTGTTTACATGTGATGTAATTCTAATATTGAATTTATTCGGAACACTACCCACTAAAAGTCATTATTGAACTTTTTCTTTGTCATTAAAATTTTACGGACAAAATTTTCCGTTTAGTCAATAATTACATAATTTTATTTACGCACAACATATTCTTTGTCAATACTTTCCACAAACAACTTTTAAAAATAAACTACACTAGTGAATCGTAATTTCTTTTGTTCAAACTTACATCTTTTTTTTGTACTTCGGTAAGTACTTTGTTTGGCTCTTGACGGGATTATTAACGCCACCTACAGTGTAACTGGACAAAATAAAACAGTCATGTAATGATAAAACTTAAAGGTCATCAATATAAATAAACATTTTATCCTGAGGTCAATATTTTTCAAAACATTGAGTTGAGGCTGTATGATGAGTATCTTTGCCCCTTGCCTCATACATTTTTTCTTACTATATGATTTATATGACTGACTTTCAAAGACTTCCTGTGTCAATATTAAGTCTGTTTATTTATTTACAAGTTGTGTTATGATGTATTTGTACAACTTATGTTTTGTCATTTTCCAAAAAAGAATTACTTAGTTACTTAATATTAAAATTGAAACAATACAAATGTTTAAGTAATAAATAAAAATATTGTCTATGAAATCATTTATTATGTAGGTACACAAATTCTCAAAGTCAAAGCATTTATTTCAATTAACTTGTCGAGTACCGTCATTATAGACACAATTAAAGAACAATAGGTTGCGGTCACCGGTGACCGCTCGGTGTTTGACAGTTTCAACCATATTTTGGTACTTTTGAAACATCAACAATTACAAAATAAATAATAGTCAGTCAGTCAGTCCATAATTTTAGTATTAGATTACTTGTAAAAGGTCAAATAGACTGTTAATTATAGACACATGTTAAAAATTTAATACAATTACTGTTTTTAAACTAATGCAGAATGCTAGACATCTTTTAACCTGATTGCTTAGCTGCGATAAGGAATTATGGTTAAATAGCTCCTAGCAGCTTTCTTCATATTACCGGAATAAAAAGTATATAGCCTATGTTATTTTTCAGACTATATATCTATGTGACAAATTGCATTCAGATATCAGATCCATGCAATAAGTAGTTACAAACACCAGTTAGGAAAGAGTAACAAACATCTTTACAAACTAAGGCATCTACCAATAAGGCAGTCAAAATGGACTTGTTATTATTAAAAAATAATTGTTTTCCCATTTTGGAAACATCAAACATGTTACAAGTTGTATATTACTTCTGCTATAGTTACTTTAAAAAAAAAACTATCTGTCATAAAGTCAACCATTTGTGTGAATAAAAGGTTATCTACCATTGCCTCTATCCATAAAGAATATTGTAGTTTGAGTTACTTTCCTAAAAAGGTTACATTCCATATGAGTAAACATAAACAAATGAATTCTTTAATTGATAAACTGTATGTGACTTATCTACTAGTAAATTAAATAAATAAATTAATAAAACATTATTTTTCTTATTATGACTAGAATC